GAATGTAACAGCTTAAAAGAGACAGCTTGTCCAAAGGAAATCCGCAACGATCCATGCTCCGATCCTAGCTTTAAACCCTGAACTTGGTTTAGGGTTTAGGGCTTAGCTGCAGATAGCGGGCTCTCGCCCTGGCCCTCATGGAGCTGAGGCGACATGGCACTGCAAGAAGCTCTGTGTAACGTAGGGCAGTAGGGGGCTTCGGGAGGCTGCTCAGCGAGGGTCATGCTGTATGCCGTGGGTCCGAGGATTGCAAAAAAGAAGGTCCGTCCCTCCTCGCGTCAAAACCTAAGGATGATCTGAGGCAAGTGTGCACTTGTGTGCCACTTGGGACCACCGCTGTTATGAAGTCCGAAAAAGCTAAACCTAGCAAGCCTTGAGCAAGATCTAGCTTTCCTATATGCAATCCTAAGCCGTGATCGGCGCAGGAAAGCTGCCATGATTCCGAGGCACCAACAAAAGGAAACTTGAAACCCTGAATCAGAAGGCCCAAAGTCTGTAGTCGTGAGACCTACAACCCTGAACACTAGCTCGCAGCCCGCAAACCTCCCGGTTGTTGAGTCTGGCAGATTCCTCATGGCTTAATTCTGAACGTCAAGGGTTGTCTTAGGTAAGCCAAAGACCTACAGGCCCCAGCACCCACTTAAAACTCCCAAATAGAACGAACCACAACACTCCGAACTCCTCCATCCCGATACCTTCTCGGAAGCCAACATCGGCATGTATTCGGCCTTTTGGGCTAAGGCTAAGGCTCAAAGTTCTGTCAGGTTCTTTTATGACTTTTCACTCTGCTTTCAAGGTGAAGCTTTAACAGTGAGGCCCCAAGCAATAGCCCTCTCCACGAAGCCCGTGCCTGGCATGAGGACAAAATCGCCTGGGCGCGTGTGAGAAGTCTTTAGGAGGCCTTAGGAGTCTTTCGGAGGCTTTCGGGATTTCGCTTGGTGAGGCTCATGTGTGTTGGTAGAGATTGTAGCCCGAAAGCCCGATTGGATGGAAGCCGAGCCCAAACCCACCAAACGCGAGCAGGCTGACAGCGAGGCATCTGTTCTTTAGGAGGATCTGGAAGGGTGCGGGGGGTTTCAGATTTCAAGCCGCATGTTTCCACCCCGGCTGGCAAGCTCTGGGGCCTTTTCTGGGAGTCAGGTGTCGACAGCTCTCCAGGACACGAGTCACGAACCCTCCAACTACCAAGGCAAAAAGCTTCTGCCTCGGACGGTCCAAGCGCCAAAACCCCGAATTGTCATTGCAAACCTGCACAAACACCCCCAAACTCTGCGAAGCGTACGGCTAGCCAAACCTGAAAACTTCTGCACAGAACTAGCGAAGGTCCTTGGTTTGAAGCATGGCCTTCGAGCTTCACAGACCGCGAGACACGAAAAAACCAAACTTGCAAACCGCCAAAGCCCGAAGCCATGGGTGCATGCAGGGGGGGGGGGGAGATATTTAGGCCCTGCGCACCAGCACGCCGATGTTTCTCCCTCGCTCTCTCTCTCTCTCTCTCTCCCTCTCTCGCTCTCTCTCACTCTCAAACTCTCAAACTCTCAAACTCTCAAACTCTCAAACTCTCTCACTCTCTCACTCTCTCACTCTCTCACTCTCTCACTCTCTCACTCTCTCACTCTCTCACTCTCTCACTCTCTCACTCTCTCACTCTCTCACTCTCTCACTCTCTCACTCTCTCACTCTCTCACTCTCTCTCGCTCCCTCTCTCTGTCTCTCTCACTTGCTTGGGTGGGCGCCAGTAAGGCGAACCAGCGACCTGATTGCGGCGGAGGCTGATGAGGATAAAGGTTGGATGTGGGGATGAAGGCTGAGTCGGGTTGAGGATTTAAAGCTACAGACGAAAGGATCCGTGACTCTCTGATGAACCATTTGGTCACCTTCGCTGATGTCTCGGCTTGCGACACATGTGCATTAGCACTTCTGCATCTTAAGGGTCGTCGACGCGCCAGACGTTTTTTAGGTTTCAGGCCGACTTTGCTGGAGTCTGTTGTGCAACGGGCACATGCAGCCCGCTTCCTGGCTCATGCCATAAAAGGCCACCAACCGAGAAACTCTTGATTTGAACGATCTGAGCCCTGCACTCCCCCAATGAAATCCTGAAACCCTCGAGGGGTCTCTGAGCGCCAGGCACCTGGCGGCCATCATCCTGGCGACGTGCGAGGGCACGGCTTCTTGGTTTGATCTTCAAGTTCCATGGCATTGGGGGGTTGGATGGATTCGGGGTTTGGGGTTCCGCTTTTTTGGGAGCAATCTGCCCCATGAAGCCGGAAGAGCAGACCGCGGAACCCAAAAGTGTCAACCCTGTCCTGAAAATGCGAACTCCAGTCATAGTGCTGTGGTTTCTGGAGAAATTGTGGTTTGGAAAGAACTCATTGCAACAATGAGGGTTGAGGGGCTTTGGGTTTCCAGACACTATGTCTGAAAAGGACGGTCGGACAGCTTCCGGAAACGAAAAGCGAGTCGCTGCACTGCTAGTCTCCGTTTGGTCTCTCCAAGCTGCATGTGCAGGTTTAGTTTCAGGGCTTGAATTAGAATGTACATTGCCGTGTACATGTCAAGCACTCGTCAGCAATGCCAAGAGCTGAGCCCCAGATGCCCAACATCCTGAAGTCCCCACGCCCTCGAAACTGGGGTATCCCCCCGCCTTCCCTCTGTGCTCTGCCGCCGTGCAAATTAGGAGAAGGCCCGGGCCCGAAGCATACTGGAAAATTGGGCTGCAGATGATTGAGCTGAAGGGCTTTCTTGGGCTGCTTGAACTTGAGGCTTCTCGGGATTCAGGAAGTTGTCAACGGCTTCGTGCTTGGTGCCTTCTAGGCGTTTTGATTTCTTTTTATTTTTTTTGGGGGGGGGGGGGGGCATTTGAGGATTTGGATCCCGGAGACATTTGGTTTTTGCAGTTCGGGGTAGACTTGAAACAGTGTGGTTGATTCTTCTTTTTTTGCGGGCGAGCCCCTTTACAAACAGGGTGGTTGATTCAACACACCGCAGTTCTTCCGCCAAGCATAGGGACAGAGTCCAACCAGCACTTTTGGACAACAGCCTTGACATTGAAACTTGTAGGATCCAGGGGCTGGGCTTCAGCATCTCAAGCGCTGCCCACTCCGGAACTTCAAGCAGAGCCGATGGACAACTCCAGCAAGACAGTGGAATCCAAATTTTTCGCCCGTTGAGCCAACACATGTGAGGCTTATCAAGCCATCCTGCTGCTATGGGTTTGTCAGTGTGACAGCTACGCCTCTAACCTGAGATCTGCCACAACACTAGTTCTATGGGATTAGCCTGCCAACCCAGGCCACATGGCAGCCCCTCCTGTGAGTTGTGTTTTTATGAGGCCAAAGGCTGGACGCCCAACAGGGGGGGGGTGGGGGGGGGGGGGGGGGTGGGGGGGGGGGTGGGGGGGGGGGGGGGGGGGGTGGGGGTGGGGGTGGGGGGGGTGGGGGGGGGGGGTGGGGGGGGGGGGGGGGGTGGGGGGGGGGGGGGTGGGGGGGGGGGGTGGGGGGGGGGGGGGGGTGGGGGTGGGGGGGGGCGGTGGGGGGGGGGGGGGGGGGGGTGGGGGGGGAGTGGGGGGGGGTGGGGGGGGGGGTGGGGGGGGGGGGGGGGGTGGCGGGGGGTGGCAGGGGGTGGGGGGGGTGGGGGGGTGGGGGGGGGGGGGGTGGGGGGTGGGTGGGGGGGGTGGGGTGGGGGGGGGGTGCGGGGGGGGTGGGGGGGGTGGGGGGGGGGGGGGGTGGGGGGGGTGGGGGGGGTGGGGGGGCGGCCCATGCTAAACTGGCGACCTGCTGCGGCTTCGTTTTTGCGTGTGGCTGTGGGAATCAAAGGCGACGTAAACCTGAACACCCCTTCCCCTTAGCCACTATTGATCACAATAAACCCCGAAGCCCCAAAAAGCCTGAAGCCGAAAGCCCTCAGCACAGCTAACCCCTCAACCCGTACCAGTAGAGTCCCAGCCAACCATCCCAAACTCATAACCTCCAAACCGCCCTTGTAGCGGATAGTGTTGTAGCGGATAGTGTTCAAGCGAAGGCCCCGCAATCTACATAGAGCCTAGACCGGGAACCACCGAACAAGCTGTAGCTTTTGGATCTTACGTTAAGGGCGAGTCGTAAGGCATCCAAGGAACCTTCACAACCCATTGGCCCGGAATTGGAAGTCGAGACGGTCTCGGCTTGGCTTTTGGTGCGGCTCGGAGGGCTTGGCTTGGTCTGCTTCGGGCCCAAGAGGCGTAGGCTTTTTTGTCCTCTGTGTGTGTGTGTGTGTGTAGGTGTGTCGGTGTGTCGGTGTGTCAATTTCGCAGCCTCCCATCCTGAGCGGATTCAATGTGGGTTTTGAAGCAACGCTCTTGACGGCATGATGTTCTTCCAAGCAAGCCTGCGGGGTTTTAACACGTGCTCATCTGGGCTTGGCATGAAGAATATCTTTGAGATTAGACACATCTCGAGATTGAAATCATTTGAGTAGCAGAGCTTGGCATGCCTGGACCTCCGGAGTAAGGTTATTGGTGTTCTTGGAGCCGAAGCCATTTTCTTGTTTCAGGCTTGACGCCTGGCAGAAGATGTTCAGGACTCAGAATCTCACTTGATCTGCTTGCCTCCAGAAGAAAGGGGCAACCGCCAAGCTAAGCATTCTAGGGGCTTGCTTAGGGTGAAGCTTTCGGCTCTTCCAGGCTTTGGGGCCAGGAGCCACACGGATTTGTTTAACGCTGCGGCGCGATGTTTGTTCAAATCGGTGGTCGCTGGTCTGCAGCTTTGCAAAGGCTTCGAGCGCGGCCATGACCAGGACAGCATCGTAGCATCCTCTCAGTCGGATCTCTCGTCCGCTCCAAAGACAACCCAGAGAAAGGCTTTCAGCAGAAGATGTTGCTCCAGAGAGCCTCAAGTCACCAGGCGATGAGGCACAACGCGAGCGCCATCGCTGTGAATCAGCGTGCGGTTGAGTTCAAGCGCCATGAGCAGGACCGTCATGGCCAGAGCAATTCCTGTTTTTGAATCTCTCACTTGTCGACGTCAGGCCTTGTCGCACGCCACCTGCAACAGGCGAACGACATCCTCATGCCGCTTCTGGCGTGCCACTGACAAAGGGGTTGCGCCGTCGTGGCATGCCTTGTCCTTATCAGCACGTGCATCCAAAAGAATGCGAACAACTTCAGCATCATTGCCTTGACAAGCGAAGAACAACGGCGTCATGCCATCGCGCTGAGGCCTATCCTTGTCAGCATTGGCCTCTAGCAGCAGCCCGAGGATCTCCAGACAGCCGAGTGCAGAGGCCATGGACAAAGGGGTGCCGCCAATGGGGTCGGCTTTGTTGCTGTCAGCCAGGGCGGCAAGCAGAAGCCGCACCACATCCACAAAATTGCTCTGGCAGGCAATAATCAAGGGCGTCGGACCGTCTTTCACATCCCTGTCCTGGTCAGCTCTCATCTGCAGCAAGGTCTGAACAACCTCCAGGTGTCCGTACTGACACGCCACGAACAAGGGCGTTGCTCCATCATCATATCTGGGCTTGTCCTCGGCTGCTCTGTGCCCGGGAGAGAAAAAACAAACACACACGCACACAAACAAAAAAGAAACAGCAGACCCCATGCCATCCTCAACCCTTTACTAAGCGTCCACAAGTGTCTGCGTCGGCAGAGGCCTCCAGCAAGAGGCTGACGACCTGCAGGTGGCCCCGAAACGCAGCGCAGAAGAGCGGAGTGTGGCCACGGACCGCCAAGTTGGGATCCTGGGGTCTCTGCAACAGGATCTCGACCTTTGAGGTGTTGTTGTCGTCGGCTGCGACGATGAGCTCCGCTGCCTGATCTTGCGACGTCTGGCCCAAGTCTAGAAGAACTAATTGCAGCTCTGCGTGTCCCTCCAGAGGGGCGTCGTCCTGTAAAACTGCTCCTGAACCAGACATGGAGGATCTCTTGGAAGAGAATTAGCTGTTCGAATCGTCATCTCCTCTTAAATAAGGGAAAAGATCAAACTCGATTAACAGGGAATCAGGATCCATTCTCACACAACAGCCGTTGCCGGAATCTCGGCTGTCCACATTGACGTTCCAGACGACGCTTCAAGGACCGAACCTGACGGATCAGCTTCCTTGTGGAGAAAGCCTTAACGCAAGCCCTTCCGATTCCTTGATATAAGCAGCAATAAAAGGCTCTTCAGGCACAAGGGCTCTTCATCGAATGTTTGGGGGTATCTCTGAGGAGTCGAATTAGGGGGCGTCGTCTTGAATGCGAGATAAAATTATCACCGACTACCTCCAATCTGCCTCACACAGGGTTGGGCACAACTTTTCCATTTTGGGGAGGCTGTCTGAGGCAGACTTAAACAAAGCCGTGCGAATGCTGAATCGATTAACGAGCGAGACCCTGAAAAACACCACCCTGGTCCCTGAAACAGGCCATAGTAAAAGGTTTGGGGTGAAGTTTTGTGTCCTGTGTGTCTAAACGGCGAGTGGCCGGCCGGTCCGGCTGCTCCGTCAAGCCGAGAGCGTCGCCGAGCTCTTCCAGAGGCAGTGCCGCAACGTCTCCGCCGGACATCATCCGAACGCGCAGCATTCTCCTATTTGGGCTTTGAGAGCTGTGTGACAGAAAAAGGATCAAGAGATCTAGCAGGACAAAGACCACTACGACTGACTGAGCCTAAGCGCAAGGTAGCAAACTAGTCAACGCTACATCCGCTCGTTGTTGGACTTGCATAAGCGGGCTAGGATCAACAGCACCATCCACTCATTCCATACATCCGAGAGGCTTTCTCGCAGCAGCAGCCAGGACAAATGAACTCAGCTTCCAAATACTAGCTTTCTCGTTTACGCTCTGAACCGCTAGGGTCCAGAGACCGCAAACCCTATGAGAAACATGGGGATTGCAAAGCCTACCACACCCAACCCCACACCCCCCTCCCCTCTTCTAACCCCTTCAGGCTGCCATGGGCGAATCGCCATGCTTCCGTTGTAAAGCCATCTGAAATCCTTTCGCCCAGGATGACGAACTTGATTGCTTGGACAACACCAGAAGCTCGACGATCAATATGCGCCATGCGAAGTAATGATTCTCGACTCGACAACTCATTAACTGATTGCAGGGTCATCCCAAAGACTTGTTCGCATGCGCACTCAAGCCCCAATCGAATAAGCGTTGTTCGTTTGTTCGTTTATTAGTTTGCTTGCTCGCCTGTGTTGTTGCTTGTTTGCTTGCTTGTTTATTTACTTGCTTGTTTACTTGCTTGCTTGCTTGCTTGCTTGCCTGCCTGCCTGCTTGCTTGCTTGTTTGACGTTGTTTGATGTTGTTTGATTTTGTTTGATTTTGTTTGTTTGCTGATTTGTTTGTTTGCTTGCTTGTTCGGTGTGGGGTTGTTTGATTTTGAACTCAACACTTCTCCTCGCCCGGAACTCTTCGCCTCGCCCGGTCTACTCCTCGCTCATCCCTGGAGTGCCCAGCCCCAACGTGTCCCTGTAGATCCCTGGAGTGCCCAACCCCAGATTCTGCCTTGAAGTGCCCAACCCAAGAGTATCTCTACTAAGAGAGGGTGGGGATGTTCGAAGAAAATAATTTGTTGTTTGCTGTTTGTTTTTCTTGTCTTTGTTTTGTTGATTGTGTCTGTGTGTGTGTGTGTGTTGTTTTTTTTTGTGGGCTCTCTCATCGTCTTCCTTCGCTTTTTCACGCGAATACCCCAAAAAAATCCTTACTGGCACTCCCAGCGCTGATAGATGGCCAACTCAGGGTTCCGGGCATTTAGGACTAACGTCAAGAGGCTAGGAGAGGTGATGCTTCATGGCTTCGTGCTTTGACACGAGAATCCTCGCAAAAAGTGCTCTCATTGTGCGAATCTGCTGTTGGGCTCTGTTCTGACTGCTAAATCGTTCACCTTCCCTTTGCAGAATCGGGAAAAAGACACAAAGCACCTGCACGGCCCATTTCTCATCGAAGTCTGCAGAGAAGTACATACAGTAGGCCGCTGATCTGTCTGCAACCGCGGTCCTAAACATCTAGACTCTACTAGTACGCTTACTGACTTACTGCATCACAGGGCGTAGCTTCCCACGCCGACTCTACACCATGATGCTCCTTGCGAGCTGCCAGGAAACTCTGTACACCAAGATTGGCAGCTTCAGGCTCAGCCAGGATATGTTGGCTTGGGCGTGAGACCGTCAGCCGCACGAGCCCCTCACTCTGCGTCGTCCAAGGTGCCATCAACCTATGGTTGCTGTTGTTTGGTTGAACGGGCAAGCTGCTGCATGCAAGATCCAAAGTCGAACTCATGAACGCTAAGTCCTCTACTCGATTAAACGCCTTCAGGGTTTTTGGGTTCAAGGGTTTAGGGGGTTTAGGGTTTGGCAACCAAAGAGCCTTGGAGAGTAAGACGTTCTACGTTGGTCACGTTTAGGCCATTCTATTGCACAACTCTCAGAACCTACTTCCAAGCCAACCACCGCACGTTCGCCACGAGATTCAGAGTTCAGGTACCATAGCCGCCATGGCCACATGCACCCTGAAGCTGTGGCCTTCGTCCCAATCTGCACAGTCTTCCCCAATGTTCTGGCTACTGCAAACCAACGAATAATGTCAAAGAGACCGGCATCTCATCTTCGTCTTCGTCAGGGACATCCCGAACTGGTTGATGCCTTTGTCTCACCCGAAGCAAACAAAACGTGATTGGATAGCAGTGCTTACAGACTTGAACTGGAAGGCACTGCCAAACAAGTCCAAAAGTCGATTGAGACCTACACACTCTAAGCCCTGACAACCTGAAGCCCAGCAACTCCGAAGAAAACGTCCTACCGCCGAAATGCCCTAAACCGCAGAACACGAACTCCAAACAAAACTCAACTGCTATGAGAACGTCAAAACGTGCAAACTTGGGTGGTCCTCTGTTGTTGAAGTTGTTCTAGAACTGCAGATCTTTCTGATGCTTGATGATGCCCGTGACGCTCATGACGCTCAGTTGAAAGGTCATTGAGGCTGGAGTCGTTTAGATACCTTGTACTGTGTGGTTGAGACATACGTTAAAGGAATCTTCAGGCGGGTTAGAAGGGTTTAGTTTAAAATTTGACGTTCGGGATGTCGAGCGTTATGACCTCTTTGCCGGGGCTTCAACACCAAGGAGCTTCAGGAAAGTGGAGAGCGGGCCGCCACGGAACTTGTCATAGCGACCTCTCTTCTGTTTTGTCTTTGTCCTCTCTCTCTCTATCTTCTTCTTCTTCTTCTTCTTCTTCTTCTTCTTCTTCTTCTTCTTCTTCTTCTTCTTCTTCTTCTTCTTCTTCTTCTTCTTCTTCTTCTTCTTCTGCAGGGCTTGAGGGGATCTCTATCTCTCTCTCTATCTATCTATCTCTCTCTCTCTCTCTACATCTATGTAGAGCTAGCTCGTTGTCGAACTTGGGCAAACCTCTCTCCGAAAAAATCTGGGAGTTCGATTTACAAAGCTCGCCTCAAACCTTCCGCCTACACCTAAGAACACACCTGCCTTGCACCCGCTCGTAATTGCGCTGAACTTTCTTCAGCGCCGCCGGGAGGCCTGGAGCTATGAGAAAGTTTGGGGCGTGTAAGGGTTGGGTGTGTCAAGTTCCAAGCCAACAATCACTCCCCTTTAGGGCCTCAGGTTCTGTCTTTGTTTTTGGAGGCACAGAACTAACGATACAGCAGAACCTGGACGCCCCCTCGATAGGAAACAGGTCGCGGCCGAACGAGTTGGATTTCGTATGAGTAAGGTGCTTAAACATGATTTCTGACAACCTGTCTCGAGATCCCCACAGTTCTGACACGCCCCCAAGCCCTTATTGAACCGTAAATGGGTTGTCTACATTAGGGGCCTTGCTTGGGGGGGAAACGCTGTTCGCCAGAAAAGAATTTTATCCCCTGAGCCCTGCAAAACCCTGGAACAACAGCCAGCGGCAGCCTTTGATCTTCTTCTTCGCTGCGGCCACAGACCTGCAGTGATGATTGGGCTCTTGTGTTGGGTTGAGGCCTTAGGGGTTAGGGTTTAGGGGGGTCTGAATTTCGAGAGCTACTCGTCCTGGTCGGTTTAGGTCCTGGAGTCGGGAGTTTCTGTTCATATTGCACCATGAAGCAACCAACAAGCACGATGCCCATGACTTGGGTAATTACCATTGTCCCCTCATCAGACTCTGAATTTCGAAAGCTCCGTAAGGTTTGGGGCAAGATGCATTCGGTTTCCCAGCATGGCAAAAAATAGGGACAGTGGGGCAACACCGTGACCCTGCGGGCCTTGCTCCCGCCCCGTTGGCTCCCTGTGGCCTCCTGCCCGTCTCGACAGCTTCGGTTGCCTCCTCAATCTGCTGGCTGGTGGCCTTGACGGTCTCCTCGCAGCTGGCTTTAACGACGCCTCGAACTTTGAAACCACAAAAGACAGGCCCCACCCCACCGCACCCCTTTAAATATGCCTTCCGAGCTTGGGCATCTTTAGGGTTCGAACTCTGGGGACTTTTCTTCGAGTTTGAATGAAGGGTAAGAAGTAGCATTTAGAGATGCAGGGCTCGGGAAAACTGGTGCTCGGGGCTCCAGGTTCAGCAGTTCATGAAGTTCATGAAGTCAGTGTCCTTGGCTGTAGCCACCGCCTTCTTCTTCGCTTCGAGCGTCTGCTCCTGCTCCTCGCAGGGAGAGGCGTCGAAGCCCCGACTTGAAGGCCCTTTCAGCAACTCTTGAGGACCAAACAGCAACTCCCAGCGAACCTCCAAGTTCTGCTGGGTCTCTTCCAGCTTGTTTCGGAGAACCTCGTGCAGTACGAGTATAAATGAGCCGAGGTATCGGGTGCCTTGCTTTGGGGCTCGGGGTGGGGAGATCTTAAAAGTGCAACATCGACCTATGCAACGATGCGCTTGAAGACATGCCCGGGAACTACAAGCGCACTGAGCCGAACAGCCAGCCCACACAGCAGAAATCCTGATACCCATAAAGCCGAAACTTTACACATCTGAGACTACCCAAGTGTAGAGCCCCCAATCCCAGATCCTGATGCCCCTCCGGCCTCTGCCTGCTTCGTGAACTCTGCATCCAGCGACCTCGCGGGTCAGACCATACATCATACACCCAATAACATGCGAGCTCGAAGTAAGCGGTGCCACAGGCCAAGGGGTCTATGCCTAAACTCCAGAAGCCTTCAATCAAAATCCTAAGGAGATAGTGTCCTTTAGGGTTCAGCGTGAAGTGCTGTTCTTGTTTCTGTGCTCTTAGGGGAAATGGAGTCAGGGAGCTTCACCACCAGTTGGTCGAAGGTTCGCCGGCGCGCAAGCTCCTTCCTGCGGAGTCTTTGAAGCTCTCTCTGATCTGCACACCTCTCTCTGGGATTCAGACCGTCTGGCACAGCGGCTGCACATGCAACAGCCTGTAAAAGCAAAAGCTTGTAGCCCAGGGAACTTTGCGCGAATGACCCGATGAAAAGTTTGATTTCAGCGAGAAAATTGCATTAAAAGGTGTTGCCCCAAGAATTACAGTTTCGAGTTTGGTGCTTGGATCTTCGGCTTGTTTAAGGAGGTTCAAAGTCGATGTCGAGGTTTTCAAGTCTGGGTGTAGGTATCCGACACAAAGCCTTGAAGCTAAACCTTGACCACCTAAAGGCGCCAAGGTGCCTAAGACTTCACCAACTGGACAGAACTAGTGGTGTCAGGGGCAGCTTTAGGGCAGCTTTACGAGTTCTAAGTTCTCAGCACGTGCCGATGATCACAGTGATCACGGCAGCGGCAGCCCCGTCACTTGTGCCCACGCGTTTGCGGTCACTTGTGCCCACGTGGTTTCGGGTCACTTGCGCCCACGTACTCCGTCACTTGTGCCCACTTTTTTGGGCAGGGGAGAGGGGGGTGGGGGGGAGCGGGTGGGAGGAGGGGAGGGGTGGGTGCAGGCCCCGCCACGTGTGAGGCCGGGAGGCGTTGTTTCACGCGGTCAGGATGATCACATCCCCGCAACGAGTGAGGGGGTGGAGGGATGCAGTCACCAGGGGGGGGAGATAATAACGACCTTGTTTCACGCGGCCAGCACGACCACACCCAGTCGCGGGAGGGGGGGGCGGGAGAATAACGACCTTGTTTCACGCGTCACCCACCCCACAACGGGTGGGGGGGAGGGGGGGGGGGGGATAATAACGACCTTGTTTCACGCGGTCAGCACGACCACCCAGTCACCTGCCCCGCAACGGGTGAGGGCGGAGGAGGTGGGGGGGGGGGAATAATAGGATAATGACGGGGCGGGGGAGGGTGGGGGGGCATGGGAGGGGGGGGGGGGCTGGGCAGTAGGCTTCACTTTGGGCCACCTGCCGCGAAAACGCAGACCTGTCACTTGCGCCCGCCTTTTGGTCTTAAAGTATGGCAGGGCCAGAGGATGAGGTGTTTGTCGTTTCAAAAATCGTCATCCGGCAGCCTCTTTGCCCCTGCCACCTCCCATTCAAGTGGACGTAGTTGTGATGCATTGGAGGTACCCTTTGCTGGGATAATCCCGGGTATGTTCCGTGGAGGAGAAGGACCTGAGCTTCAGCAATGTCTCGAAAGCCTGGAACCTGGACAGCCTCAAGTCTGAACCCTAAACCCTAAACCTTCCAAAAGAAACTGCACATCCATAAACCCCGGACAGCCCAACCCGCGAACGCCGGAATCCCCAAATTTCAAGCTCCATGGACTCCAAACTTCGACAAAATGCAGAACCTATGCTGTGATTTCAGGCACATACGCAGGCACAAGTGACACGCGAGTGCGCGGGCACGGGTTAGGCGGGCACAAGTGACAGGTCTGCCACGCCGCAGACCCGGCAGCTAGGTTCATCCGTTCAGCCCTAACAACAGCCTGAGAGCGGAGGAGGTTCATCTAGCACCAGAGGCCTTTTAGCTCGCCACCTCTTGGGCGCTGGGGTCCCAAACCGATCGTTTCTTAAACCTTGCTCCCAAGCCGCGCTTCACAAGCGGCGCCGCCCCAACGTTTGAACCCTGTTTGAGCTTTAGGCTCCAACCCCTCGAAACAAGAAGGAACGAGAAAGGAAAGAAGAGAGTGGACACCGTCCTCAGAACCGCCGGCGCCACGCCCAGGAGCTCCTGCAAAGAGCCAAGATGAGGGCAAGCCGGGCTTACGATGCAGAGCCACGATTCTTCTGCTCTTTTCTGTTCTTCGCTGGCCTTCAGCCCTTCATGTGCCATGCATTTCGTCGAACGGGGCATCCCAAGCGTCGTTAGCAAAGAGCAGTTGTCATCCAAAGTCCTATCAGCCCGAAGGCCACGAAATCCCCGCTCTGAATAGAGGCAGTCTTCGGCGAGTCTTCGGGCTCAGGTTTTGCATCTGGGGCTCCAGACGTCACAACCCAGAAACACCCAGAAATCTCCTTGTGGAAGCCCACCTTCTGCCCCGCCTGCAGAAGACGTAAGGTGCTTCAGGCCATCGAATCGGGGAGTTAGGGCTAAAAGATGGAGGGTTCAGGGTTCAAGGGTGCGCGGTTGAGATTCGGAGCAAAAGACTTTTCAGGCCCTCTCCCTTCTCTCATGGCACTGCCCCCCAGGCTTACCTCAGGCTCTTGTGCGGGAGCTTCGTGTTTTAAACGTAGTTTGGGAACGAAGAATGCCCAACAGAGCCTTTCAAAGCTTACTGCACAGCATCATGAGATGTTAGAGCATGGTTTAGGAGACTTGCTCTGGGTTTTGGGAGCCTTGGCAATTGCACCACAAGCAGGGCCCAAGTGTGGTTCTTACAGCATTGTGCGCTCGCTTTTCTAGTCTAGGCTTGTTAGAAGTGATGGCAAAAACAACAAGGGCCTTCTCGCATGTGTCGACACGGTTTTGAGATCTAAGTGCTGCCTTTTCTTTGGGGGGGCCGGGGGGGGGGGGGGGGGGAGCAGGACTCAAACAACAACGAGCCTAAGGTGTTCCGGGCTAAGGGTTGACGGGCTCAACCAGCTCACCTGACGCCTCCAACCTGCAAAGCTTTCTCAACCATGAGCGCCCGGAATCCCTTGCCAGCGGCCCTGGCGCCTTGCACAAAGCAGTGATCTGCTTCCTGGCAGCTGCCCCATGAACGTGCGCCTGATGGCTTTCTCAAGGAGGGTTTGTCGGGTTTGCAGACAAGGCGAAGCTCGGTGTCCTCAGGCAGTATTGGTGGCATTCCAGACCTAAAATCACCCAGGCTGCGGCACTCCCTACTCGGGGCACAGCGCAACCCCGAAACGGCTGCCCGAACGCTGCTTCCGCCTGCTTCAGAGGCTGGTACATCTTCACCTGAACGTCCACCAGCTGCCGGCACTCCTGAAAGAAGAGGAGCGGGGGGGTTAGTTTCTTAGGGCTTGGCGGTCTTAGAGAACCCGAGAGGGGAATGGAGGTCAAAGATTCTGGGCTCTGGGATGTTTGAAGACGTTTTCGGATCGTTGCAGAGAATACATTCCAAGAGGATCTTCTGCAATCGCGGCCTGCATCTTTAGGTTTAAGCTCAAAGCTTGGCAGCACGAAAAACTCCAAACCGCCTGAAGCCAGGGGCCACTCCTAGTCAGCCGATTTGACAACTGACTCCCACCCCCCCCACCACCCCCACCCCCCCATCCCCACCCCCCCCACCATCCCCACCCCCCCACCCCCCCACCATCCCCCCCACCACCCGCGACTAGTCCCTACTACAACCAGAACCCCGAGACCGCAACCAGAAGCCTTATACTGCAACTGGGCCTGGATTGCGCAAAACCCGAAACCACCATATCACAAACACCAAAAAACTTACAATTTGCATGGTTTTGCAATCTGATGGTGAACCTTTAAGGAAACACATTCATTTATAGAAACAATGAAGTTGCAGTAGGTACCGTTCTTCGCCCGGATGCTTCGATCTACTAAATCTTCATGATGATCATACTAAAGGGGCTCTATGTTATTGAGGTTTGACTTCAAGCAGTAGACCAAACAAACTCTGTACTACGTACCCGAAAGCTTCAAACTTGTAAAGACAGACAGTGTATTACCCAAAGGCTTCAAACCGTCAAAGCTGTAAAACCCAACAGTGTACTACCCCAAAGGCTTCAAACTGTGTAAAACCCGAAAGTTTTATTGCACGGAAAGGTTCAAACCTGTAAATCCTGAGTGTTGACTACCCTGAAAGCTTCAAACCTGTCAAATCCAGATCCGAGACGGTTGCCGGTAGCAGCTGAAGCAGGGAACCCTTTTTGCGCATATGGATGCTCAGTTGTAGTAGGGTCCAGTTTCTGGTTGCAGTATAGGGCTTCTGGTTGTGGTATCGGGGTTCCGGTTGTAGTAGGGACTATTTCCCCAACCACCACCCCACGCCCCGACCACTCCCCCCACACCCCCCACACCTCCCCCCCACACCCCCCCCACCACTCCCCCCGCACCTCCCCTCCCCCCCCCCCCCCCCCCCCCCCCCCCCCCCCCCCCCCCCCCCCCCCCCCCCCCCCCCCCCCCCCCCCCCCCCCCCCCCCCCCCCCCCCCCCCCACCTCCACCCTTTTTCGGGGGAACTTCAACAACACTGTGTGAGATTCTTTTGGGGTGGGAGTTTTGAGCCAGACCCCTTCACCTTGTCAGCCAGCTTCACTTCGGATGCGACGGCTTTCCTCAGCTGGGGTGGCAAGCCCTGTTCTGTTGGGCCGGAAAGTTTACGGTCATCTAACAGTCAGATCTGACGGATTTAGAAGACAAGGCGGCATTGTGGGGAGGGCGGGGGAAGGGGGGGGGGGGGGGGCAAACCCCATCATTTGCAAACACGATGCTTGTATGACGAGCTTGAAGCATTCATGCGCAACCACCCAATTTGCAACCGCAATGCTCGTATGCCGGCCTGGTAAAATTCACCGGGCACTTGCAGCAATTCCTCTCGACACCATGATGCCTATAAAAGCGGGCTCAGTTTGCAAACCATGTGAGGGGGAGTCGTTTCTCAACTTCTCAACCCCTGAAGGTACCGGAAAACATGCCGGGCATCT